ACTACAAAAATTTGTGAAGCTATATTTCACAAACAAAAGCCATCCCAGATTTAAATGTTTGGAATACAGTGATTTACATGATTGTCAGTACACTGCTATCCATATGAGAATGTGAATATGATATCTAGCAATATCAACAACAATTTTAAGGTATTTTGAACACTGGTTTCTAAAATGTATTTTGCTGTGTCTTACCCAAGTATTTGTATCTTACTGTATCTGAACAAACCAAACATTTTTACAAAGATGGATTCATAAAAGTTATTGGTATGAACCCAAAAAGGAACATTTTACATGTGCCAGCTAAGAATTATTTTTTTTTTAAAAAAAAAAAAAAAGATTGAATCAAGGACAACAGACTACAAAAGACAATAACTATTTTAAAAATATGAGTGGAAGCCAGGAAAAGATTCTAAAATAAAAGAATTAAAAAGTAAACTTCTAAACACAGGAAGATTTCATAGATGCCAAAAATGTTCTCATTATTACTCTAAAATTTAGGATTTATCCAAAGCAAAATTTTAGTTCCCTTCATGTATTCAATATATTTTCCTCTTACAACATTTGAAATTTTTGGAAGACCACTTAGCAGTCCAGAAGTCCTGATCATAACATATTTTGTCCCACTGTAAATTCACCACATTTTTTCCTATCACTATAGGTTGGGACTTAGGGAGTATATAGACGAATTGTCAAGTATTTGAAGTTGGATGTACATAAGCATATACCAGAAAGTCATGACTCACCCTAAGCAGTTCTCTAAACATTTCAGTTCTGCTCAAATTAAGTTTCTAACTATTTAATTTTTTCTTTGTAACTATTTTACTTAAAGGGCAGCTACAAATAGGACAGAGGTCCCACTGTTCGCAAGGAGCCAAAATGGAGAAGACAAGGGACAAGGTACAAGTTGCACTGGACGGAGTTTCATCTTGATATAAGAAAATTTTTTTACAGTAAGAGCAATCACTCACTGGAACAACCTCCCTAGGGATGTGGAGGTTCTCAAGGTGCAACCGGACAGTGTGCTGGATAATCTCATCCAGGCTCCCCTTGCCATTAAAGTTTGGACCAGATGATTATTCAAGGTCTCTTCCTACCTGAGATGCTCTATGATTCTTAGTTTCTCTTTTAATATCCTCAGCAAATACTACCTCATGGATCTATCACCTGATTGATTTGAACTATAAAGATAACAATTAATGTACTTAATTAAGTATTTATTTATGTATTAATAAATTATGCAATTTAATATCTTTTAATGAACTTAGTTGTATTTGTTATTCAACAGAAGTTCAACAGCATATCTCATTCTTTACATAGATAAATCCATTTCTGTTGGTAAGCTACTTAGTATGATTGAAGTTGTTTCTGAATCAAAGTACTGTACTTAAAATGTTCTTTCAAGTTTTCCTACTAACTACAATTACCTCAGACAAGAAATGTATCAGAACTCTGAAAACAAATGGAAAGATCTTACTGTGGGATATTGTGTAAGCTATTTTTACAGTATGTTGACATCTTGAGGTCAATGAGCCTCTGTAACTAGGCAGCGATATCCCCAAATGACAGTACGACTATGCTCCCTTCTCTTCCTCTTTTAGTTTTTCATGTAATAAGGAAAAATAGATGACTGAGCACACAGCTTTCTTAAAAAATAACAATGCATCCTTTAAACAGGCCTTTTACTTATATCTTCTTTATAAAAGAAGGAATGACTCAAAAAACAGTTTCCAGGAAAACCAAGGCTGAATAAATATAATTTCAGAGAGATGGTAACACGTCTTAAGAATGATGGTATGTCCCTGAAGTCTTGGTCAAAGTCAATAGAATGTAAATTAAGAGACTTCTCCAATAAAAGTCCATAAAAATTATTTACCTCTACATGGGAAGAAACAAAGAAGGTGACTTAAAAGCTTTGAAAAAAAATTTTAATAGTCTGTTTAAGGGGGAGTTTTGGCATGGCAGAAGGCGACAGCTCCATTAGAGAATCAAAAATATCAAGATTGTGAGAACTTCTGTTTGGCATTATTCCCAGAGCACAAAGCCACACACAAATAAATTCCTTACCATAGGCTTTATCCCAACCAGAGGGATTCTTTTCTCTCACTAGGATCTTTCCTTCAAATCTGGGTTTGACAAAATTCAAATGACTACTTACTTTCATAAATGGTTTAAATTACACCATCAGTTTAAAACAAACAAAAGACTTTGGTTAGATTTAGTTATCTTTTATCTGTCACTATGATTAGCAAATTAGATCATTCCTACTGAAAGCTATTAGGAAAAAACATATACCTTTCTCTCTCTCTCTCTTTCTTCTTCTTTTTTTTTTTTTGAGTTGGTAGCATGTCTAATATGATTTTCATTATCACAAACTACAACTTTATTTTTGTTGCTGTGAGTTAAGGTAAAATAGAGGAAGGAGGAGAAGGGTCCAACATAAGTGGCAGAACAAAGGGAGAGGGAAAATACTGCTATAAATCCAAACAAATTTCAGATGGCAGGAGCAGGGGTAGCTCTTGAATGTGCTTTTGACTTAGTTTTTCATAGTATATACTTTATAATCATTTACCTTTCAGCAATAAGTATGCAGAAATCAGAATAATTTTCCCAGAAAATTCTTTAATAAAAGCAAGGGAACAGCTGCTGTACTTCCCTCTCTTCATCTTAGAACAAATAAACAAAACAGCAACAATTCTTTCCAAATACTATAGTTCGAGAACACAACAATGAACTATCTGTACACCAATGGTTTGGGCTGGGATAGACTTAATTTTCTTCACAGTAGCTGGTGGTAAGTTTTGAATTTGTGATGAAACTATTGATAACATGGGGATCTTTTAGTTATTGCTTGTACAGTGTTAAGGCCTTTTCTGCTTCTCACACTGCCCCACCAGCGAGTAGGCTGAGGGTGCACAAGAAGCTGGGAGGGGACACAGCTGGGACAGCTGACCCCAACTGACCAAAGGGATATTCCGTACCATATGACATCGTGCTCTGCAATAAAGACTGGGGGAAGGAGGAAAAGGAATGACATTCACAGTGACGGCATTTGTCTTTCCAAGTAACCATTACATGTGATGGAGCTTTCCTGAAAATGGCTGAACACCTGCGGGCTGATAGGAAGTAGCAAATTAATTCCTTATTTTGCTTTGCTTACATGTGCAGCTTCTGCTTTAACTATTAAACTGTCTTTATCTCAACATATGAGTTTTCTCACTGTTACTTTTCTAATTTTCTCTGCATTCTGCTAAGGGAGAGTGAGTGAGTGGCTGTGTGGGGCTGAGCTGCCTGCTGGGGTTAAACCATAACAACTGGCATTTCCATGCAATTTTAAACTTCATTATAAGGCTAGATCACATGGATGCCATTAAAATAAACACAAACCCCAAGACTCAAGACTATTAGGGATACTTGCCTCACCTATTTCCAGCAAACAATTTTTCATATGAATACTTGTAGAACAATATTTTTACATCAGTATTCCTTCAGAATACTGCTGCACATCCATTTACTTTGATCATTTCTAAGGACTCTATTTTATAAAAAAAAATCTTATTGAACATAAGCAGCTTGTTTTCACTTGCTAGGTCCTTTACAGCTTATCACCTCCTTTCATTTCTCAATCAGTTGCGGAACGTTAAAAGCTGATTCTCCCCTCAGATTGGTCTACAACTCAAACATCTATCAAATACTAGCTTTTCAAATTAGAACTTCTGTACTTTTTTCTCATCCCTAGCCTATGCACAAGAGCATTCCCCCATAAACACTCGTACAAACCTTCTTAATTTTTTTCTTCAAATCTCTACAAAAACCTTGCTACAATCCCTATAGACACAAAACAGAACACAACTGTTGCCTGTCATGATGATCAAAAAAGTCTCGTTCTTTTCTTTTGATAGTGTGCTATATACACGGATTTCTTTCCTCATCTTACATTGAATCATAGAATATCTCAAGTTGGAAGGGGTCCATAAGGATCATCAAGGACTATCTGAAACAACCATATGACTAAAAGCATTGTCCAGATGCTTCTTGAACTGACAGGGTTGGTGTCGTGACCACTCCCCTGGGAAGCCTGTTCCAGTGACCAGCCACACTCCCAGTGAAGAATCTTTTCCTAATGTTCAGTCTGAATGTTAGATCCAAGACTCTTTATATTTATTTTTTTTTTTTGCCAGAAAATGTAGCGTAAGAAGTTTTTCCTAACCAGCCTCCATTGTGCCTTGGAATTCACAACTCACTGCCCCCTCCTGTTGTGTCAAACCAACACAGTAACTCAGATGACAAAACCAATAAAGGTAAAAATTGCACTTCTGAATTCATTTTGCTTCATCAAACATACAAAACATATCACAGAACCATTTTTTTCATGATGCGTTTCACTTGGATCTCCATGGGGCAAACCTTGTTATTAGTATTTCTAGCCATCAATAATACATAACATACTGCTAAAAAAACCAGCAACAACATCAGATGTTTTCAAAATAAAATTGATATCATTTTCATAACAGTTAAAAATGGAAATAAATAGTAAGCTTTTTTGAGTTTATCACTACCTTCTTCCAGGATGGGTCTCAGCACAACGAACGGGATTTCCTGCAATGGTTCCATGTGTTTGTGTCCAGCACTCATAATCTTTATCTGGGGCAAGCAGACAACAAGTGTCCCAGGCATACTGGCCTGTCCATGGTACCAGCTTCGCACAGTCCCAGGAATGTCACCTGATACAATAGTACTTGGGGAAGGCAGGCTATCATTCGGAAGGAATACGCAACAAGACTGCACTTCAAGCTGAAAAAACAAAGCCAAGAAATATTTCTCAGAAGTAAATTACCACTTTTTCCCCCAATGTGGAGTATTCATCTTGGTATGAAATCTCAAGTTACTCTTCCATCGCAGTTGACTGAAAATAGTCCTAGATTTTAATTGAATTAAGAGGAAAGTCATAGATTTAGTTGAAATAAGAGGAAGGATAAGATAAAATGTTGAAAAATAATATAATCCTGTAAATTATGATTATGGGAGGGGAAGGAAGAAAAAGCGTGGTATTAGTCTGTAAATCTGATCTGAAAGGTGTTGCCATATAAACTGAACATACATTTATCTACATTTCAACAGCTTTTTACAAGAAGTGTAATTGAGTCAGAAAATGTTCTCATAATAAAGCTGAGTAAACCCTCTTTTTGCAGGTCATTAGCTTTTGTTAGCAACAGCTAAGCCTCTAGAACCAACATTTTATATGCTGTTACTTTCTATAAAGAATTATTTCAGGGAAAATTCTGTCTTGTCTTTGCAGTGAGCAGTAATGAGCATGTACAAAAAGGTTAATCATCAGGAAAAATATAAGCTTTAGTGAAAAACTGACTAAAAAACTGAAAAAAATGGATAGGTGCATACATACACAATGAGAAAGAGAAATGAATAAAGTTCACAAAGTTTATACAGCTTTTGTCCTGTTTTCAATGAAAATTAGAAGTAGTGTTTATGGCTTCATATGAAATGGCACTTTTTTGTTCTTTAGTTTCAAGCAATGCTGTCACCCTGAAACATTTCTGACCACTCTGCCATCTAATTACGAGCTTCCAGCAAGGCTGAGTGAGCGCAAAACAAGAATGGAACTGATCACTACTTGTTATCTCAGAGGCAGTGTAAGCTGCAGACGGTTAAGTCTTCCTTGGCTCTTGAAAGTAATATTCTGCACCTGGATATGAAATAGCCCTAAGAGCCTGCACACTTGAATGCTTTGTTAAGCAAGTACAAACTGTGATTCAATTCATTTCTTCATTTCATTGGAAAAGTCTAGTGTACAAAACATTGGAAACGAGATGTTATTTGTAGCTGTGATAGAATATTTGTTTGCTGCAAACTTACGTAACAGAGTCTTTCAGTTTGACATCATTAAAGACACCGTAGCTTAAAACTGATAACCAAGGTTTGCACTCCATACCCTGATGGCTAATAGTCCCTCAAGACCAAATAGTAATTTGCAATAGAGCTGGAATTCCTCAGCACCATAAGTACTTTGCCAGCCTAGTGAGGAGAACACAGATATTCATCTTTATTTCAGCATTTTTGTGCCCTTTTGCTTAGACAAACTGACAAGAATTCACTGCAGAAAAATGTAAGTAGAATTTTGCAAAAATAAATACATTGTTACATGAAGTCTGTGTTTGTTTCTAGTTTTAGAACTGTTTGAGTTGTAAAATGAAGTTAATTACATCTTTGATAAGTAGTTTATTGATCCAAGGTTGCAGAGTGTACTTTATTTATACTGGATGAAAAGCAACAGTGTATTGTTACAGATGTAATAGATTTGGATATTTTTTTTTTTTTAAACTGGTAAATTAGTCATTGTGCCAATTTGCAAAGATTTTTACAGTGACACACTGGATCGTTTTCTGGTCTATTAGTAATAGGTTGCAGGTCAAGATAATGATAAATAGATGACAAAAGAACTTATGATCAGTATAACTTTTTTTTTTATCAGTGCATTTGCTGAGTAAACAGTTTATAACAAATAATCCATTCTTCATATATATATCCATGACGATTAACATCAAACGCTGACTGGATATACAAACCATGTGGTAATAATAATTCAAAAATTCCACCAACTTGAAGAGATACTATACTTCATCACATTACCAGCAGCAGGATCTAAAGGAGATGCTTCAGAAAGTATTCTTGAGAAGAGATCTCAATACTCAGTAGAGTTTTTACTCTTAATTTACAGTTCAGTATAGCTTTATACTGAAGACAAGTTCTTCAGATCATTTTTGTTTTATTTTACTTTGCCATATCAGGAATATTGAAGTGGAATCACAACAGCTTCACTCCTTTAAATGCCTGAGCGAAATTCCTGTTTACGTAGGCATTACATTGCTATTCATTTTCAAACAAGTGAATGGGATTTGGACCATGAATTTTGGTGAGGTTTACACAATAGCATCAGGCCCTCTATACATAACATTACAGATCTGCTTACAGATATGGTTTGCTCATTTGTGTTTCATTTAAAGTTTTATATATGAATAAATGAATTTCACAAAACATTATGGACCTGTTGGAGCGAGTCCAGAGGAGGGCCACGAAAATGATCCAAGGGTTAGAGCACCTCTACCTATGAAGACAGGCTGAGAGAGTTGGGTTGTTCAGCCTCGAGAAGAGAAGGCTCCAGGAAACCCTTTTAGCAGCCTTCCAGTACCTAAAGAGGGCCTACAGGAAAGCTGGAGAGGGACTTTTGACAAGGGCATGAAGTGACAGGACAAGAGGCAATGGCTTTAAATTGAAAGAGCAGATTTCGATTAGATCTAAGGAAGAAATTTTTTACATTGAGGGTGGTGAGGCACTGGAACAGGTTGCCCAGAGAAGCTGTGGACGCCTCATCCCTGGAAGTGTTCAAGGCCAGGTTGGATGAGGCTTTGAGCAACCTGATCTGGTGGAAGGTGTCCTTGGCCGTGGCAGGGGGGTTGGAACTAGATGATCTTTAAATCCCTTCCAATCCAAATCATTCTATGATTCTATGATTATTGCAGGATTTCAAAGGCCAACACAATGGACATATGGCAGAATTCCACATTTTAGGACAAATCATGCAATTATTGCAATTACATAAGAAATTGCCAACTTGGATGCACAAGGGCCCAATAAGGTTAAAATCAAATTGCATCTGTTGAAGTTCTCAGGCAGATTCTGCTTACACACAACTATCAACTTCAATGGAATCTGTGTACGTTTACCTGACAGAATCTGGAGATCTGTCTAATAACAAGTTCCATTGAAGGAATGGAAGAGAGAACCTAAAATGATGGCATTACATGTTGGACAAAAGTGAAAATGTGTGCTACACATTGCTTCACCAATCGGAAAGTGCTTTAAAATATATGTAATCCAAATATCTTAAAATTAAACTACATCAATAGCATATATTAAAGCCATCATATAAATCTTTTTACACTTTTTAAATAACTGTTAAACTGCATGTCTAAAATTGTGAATTTAATGTAAAATGTGACTGATTTATGCAACTGAATATAAACCTACAGCAGTAAATCTTGCATTAATGTAAGGATCTGACAATCCAAGGGAAAGAAAATGAAGTAATCTGCCAGTAAGAAGTCCTCAAGCTGGAGGTCAGATCCTGTTCATGGAAACCATCTGGTTGGGACCCTCCAAGCCACACCAAACACAAATGATCTTTTAAAAAAATATCCTATTCATTAATGCTTCGCAGCTGCACTGAGTGTTACTTCATTTTTCCATGGCAACATCCTTTCTGTTTCAAGGATCTTATTTCAGTTTTGGTAGCAACGTGTTCTTTTGCCAATACTGAACACATTCATGTGTTAAAGAGAAGGAATTATTACAAATTCTTGAAACAGAATCACCTCCTATTTTCATTTCTATTATGTCAAGGCCTATACATGCGAAGTAACATACGCTAATGATAAACCAATGAAGTAAGCAGTATTTTCCCTTCTACTTTTAAAAAGTTACGCAAAGCATATTGCTCTAAGCTTTTATAAATATATAAGTCTAAAAAAGCGTAATGACTTTAAGATCTCTGTTGTATAAAAAGGAAAGTATTATGTTACTGGAATAAATGGCATATTTTTAATTCATATTTTATAAAAAGAAAATGTTGGTAGACAGAACAGTGAAATATGTACTGCAGAAGAATTAGGTCGTCTTAATGAGGAGGGTGAGTGGGAGGGAGTGAAATAAAACAAGTGACACGCCATAGTTATCCTGCACAAATGGAATGAAAAGGGACAGGTTGTACAAGAGTCTTTACAGCATTTCTTGATAGTGATACCATAAGGAGATTCCCTTCCCTAACCCACATTTTATAGATATAAACCAATAAGAGGCATTGAAGACGACCCACAAGGTGACACTCACATAAAGTCCTCACTCCTGGGAAGTGGCCTTTCTCCACATTAATCATCATAGAATCATATGTCCTCGTCAGAAAGGCTAATGTGTTTTTCTGGGAGTTTCAGACACAAAATATAATCTTGCAATGACTCCCAAAACTGCAAAGAAGCACCACTACACATCTTATGTAGGGGTTCTGGTGCGGTCATTATTATAAGATGACACTTCAGCTTCTGACATCCAAATTAGCTCTACTCAATTAGACCATCTGTGGTTGAGCCAGTCACGCACCGTTTGTTAGAATTTAAAAAGGCAGGCAAAAAATTAATGTTTTAAAGTTAGAGAAGAAGTAAAAATTATATAAATGAAAAGCAGAGCACATGAGTAAGAGAACTACAAGAGCAGGCTACCTGTACATACAAATGAGTATAACAAGGATCAGCTGCATTTTCTTTAACCACTTAAAACACAATGTCTTAGCACTACACCTTATTCCCATTCTTTTCTAAGAAAGCTTGATTTTAAACAGTTTTTAGTTACAGAAAATTTCCTTGTTTTTTCTTCAGCGTGTAGTAAGTAACCAACTTAAGAAATGATCCTATCTCATAACTGCTGAAAGCTGTAACTACTAAGTTACAAGTCACAGAATCTCTTCCTGACCCATGAACAAAGACCACAGTTCAAAGAACAGGAACTCTAGTCAATCTCATCCTTATGTTTCTGTTCTTTCGATCAATGCTTCACTTTGACTAAAATTTTGTACAAGTTATATGCTTTAAAGAAAATATTATTTTCAATAATTTCAGGAAACAAGACTCTTTTTCAAACAATTCAGGGATATTTAAAGGCATGTAGAATATCTGGTTAAAGTTTATATGTAATAATTACATTGTTATTTAGTTGGCATTCGTTGTAACATTACTCATTAATTCATTTGCTTTTAATACAGATCCTTCATTATTCTCATTGGAATTCAGCATTAACAACCAATTAAGAATAATTGTGTTTATACTGCTCCACAGTTTTAGCAACTATTAGTATGAAGAACACGTGAAAAGCGAGTATTACCCTTCTACATGGTGTAACTGCCAAAAAGACTTCAAGGCTGCATATAAAATCCTACAACAACTAAATAATAAAGCCAACTTTTTATAGTTAAGTATGAAAGTATTTTCACTTAAATACTAATAGCTTACCACAACCCCAACGCACAAATTATTCATGCAATGTTCTATCATGAGCAAGCCAGGGCTAGGGCTAAGCAAGTACCAGCTTTGGATCCAAAATAAACTTTCCAGTTACTTTTGTTCCAAACACATTTACTTACCCAAAATTCCACTAAAAGAATAATCCTTTGATAATTTTAAGTTATGAAGTTCTATCTGATTACAGCTACAGACTTCTCTGTTCTACAATCATGTTAATAAAAGATCCAGGAACATGAAAACTGCTCCAAAATTTAACCAGACAAAATACTCTAGAAATTACCAAAATTTGCCTTTTCCATTGCAAACGATAATAAAATACAGAAAATCTGTATTAATTTAACATATAAATATATTTATGTGTTTAATAAAATGCATATTATATTTAATCAAATAAATATATTATACTGTACTTGAATTGAGAAAATGGAGTCATAACTCTCATCATCTTATCCTCTACCTACTGCTTTGCATGAATTTCAGCTTTATCATTGAGGTTGGTATTGAGTGTCTTGAAAAACATACTGCTTTGCACAAATTTCAGCTTTACCATTGAGGTTGGTATTGAGTGTCTTGAAAAATAAATAATTTAGACATAGAGACTACAAGCAATACTAAAAAGAACAGCAAACATATTTATAAATCCTTCATATTTCACTAAGAAGGACTACTGCATATTTGTTTGGAAGCACGTCCTTGGACTTTTCCTGTGGCGTTTCCTTGGAGTCTGTTGAAACTTTTCACTGGCAACGTGTAATGTCCTTCCAGCAAGATACTGGCATATACTTCACAAAGTATGATCAAAGCATAAGGATGAAACATATCAGAAGTGTGTAAGCTGTTGTATGAATTCATAAAGTCATTTAATTTCAATAGAGAAAAACAAAAAATACAATTTTACATTCATAATGACAAAAATTGAAAGCATGAATACCTTACCAAAAAATGCTGTAAAAAGTAAATAAATCTAGAGGCTCCAACACCAGAAAGAGTATCTAACACAAAAAAATCCTCTGCCAGTATTAGCTCTAAGTCGTGAGTGTGTTATGTCAGAGCAGAGATATATTTACAGATCATTCTCTTAAAAAAAAAAAGTGCTTATCCCAGCCTTCAGCTTTCATCTCCACAAAAAAATACATTAGTTTGAATATAATCCTTTTTTTTCTATGTAGTAACAGGCAAACTTTATTTTTAGCTGGTCACTATCTTAACCATTCTTTGAACCAAATTCACTTTGCTAGTTGCTTACATAACAAAGCATACATTCAAAAATGTACAAGCAGAATATCTTAGTCCTGATTCAATTTTCACCACTTATAAAGGATCCAGCTCTTCACCATCTTCATTATTATATTATTTTTATTATAACTCAAACTGTAAGCCTCATTTACATAGAGAGTCTCATTGTGCTATGTACCACTCAGGCACATAACAAAAATACACTGCTTCCTTCAGACAGCTTCCAAATTATCTCTCTTGACTTCCCTTATCTAGTCATTTTAATCTCCAGTAGTGACAACATAAAAAAAAGAAAGGAAAATAAGCAAAATACTCATGAAACAATGATGAAAGAGCTGGGTGAAAACTAAATAGAGTTAATAGAAAGCATCTTCTCAACTTCAGTATGTTCTGCAATCAAGTCACAAGTCTGAAGTTCTTGCTCATGCAAAACTTAAACTTTCAAAATATTTTGAACCCAAAGTACTTTTTGCACGAACAAAGAGTAAAACAGACACAGATTCTGGAATGAGTCTGTATATAAACAAATATATTTCCTGGTTGGAAGAAGGAATGTTTACTTTCAGAAATAAGGGTTTTTCTGTTTATGAATTTTTAAATTTTGTTTTAACACAAAAACAGTTTTGCCACTATATGCTGGTGTACCATAAAATACCAATCTCATAGAATGTACTGTTCCAAAGGCATAGATTATAATATTTCTAAATTAGGGTAATTTCTAAGCAGGCACGTGATATACACTTGGAAGAACAGAGTTCTAATTCTAGTATTTGATCATGCAGTTTTAATACTGGACGTCTAACATGGACTTTTTTGTGTACAGCATGCATATATACTGCTACACGAAAACTTCAGTGATCATAATCTAGAGCAGTCTAGGATGAAATGGTTTAATTCAAGTGGTCATCTGCTTGTCCTTTATGAAAAGGTAGACAAGTAAGCAGCTGAGCCATCACCATATAACATCGTATTGTATCATACAATACACCCCAAGAAAGTATTTATCATGCAAGTTCTCCTCAAATATTTTTAGAAACGAACGTATTCTGCAAATCTAACTATGGATAAAAAGCTATATAGCTACATTTATAACACAGAACAGTGTGACAGGCATTTTTTGAGGGGATAACTTCTTTAAGGATCTTCCTGCTTAGATAAAAAAAGTATTTGGAAAACTAATATTCTAAAACAAAAGCATTCTTTGCTTAATTTACCAAAAATCTATATTTTATTTTTCATTCTCTAAGACTTTGAAACTACTGAAGTAACACAATAAAACCTGGGAGCTCCTTTAAAAACCCCCTAATAAAAAGCACTAGGATGCATAAAAAGTATCATAAAGTTTGGAAAGACATAGGGTTTTTTTCACCTCCTTTTCATCTTACCTGAAGTGTAAGGCGCTTAACTGCATTCCACACTATTCCAATAAATTCCTTCATTCTTTCTTCAGGACTTCTGCAGCTTTCGGATGAGTTCAGCATGGCTTTCACAGGAAGTGACAAAGGACGAGATTCTAATGCAAACAACAAAACTCAGTTACACAAAGAAAAATATTACTTATTTTAAATTCTAAAAGAGATACTCTCTCACTATATATATAAAAATAGTGTGTCTATTGCTAGTTTTAAACATGGCAATACAACTGTATCAGTTAAGCCTGGTGAGAAATGCAATGAAATGAAATGTTTTAACTTTTTTAACGTAAACTGCTAAGAAAATATTATTAAGAATGCTTGACCCGAGCTAATTAAGATAGTTTTCAAAGTGTGATAGCCTATTTGGTGAAAGAATAGCAATTCAAGAGGTTTTCACACACATGGCTGCCAGTGTAATCTAAAAAAGATTTTAGTTTTCTGAACTCATTGTAAGAAATGAAAGATAGCCCATATTAAATTACAGCCTTTGATTTGTTTTCTTTTAAAAATTCACTTAACAAAAACTTGAGTATGCTTCCAAAAAAAGGCATAAAAGTTAAACTGTTTTCTTACTTTGTCAAGCTTAAAAGTACTAAAGTATGAAATATTTTAGCGAAATTCAATGTTTTCCAGTAAAAGGAGAAATTTCCTTAAATCATTAGTTATTTAATAACATGAATATGAAAAGATTTTAAATAACAGAAGCATTTAATTGAACATGAGCATAGTAGAACTTCAAAAGAGGACCAGTGAGGAGATTAAGTAGTAACTACAAATTCATTAAAGATTGTATGAGCGGTACATATTTCCTCCTGTCATCTCTTACAGAATATCCTCCTCCTTATGTTTTGGGTTGCCCACCAAATTATTGTTGGCATCTTTAACATTTCCAGTTTTGACTTGCATGTTGCTGAGCTGAAAAAAATGCAGGAATATATTATGAAGTGTTCATGACTTCATTTTAAACTAAATTGAAATCAGCACAAGTGTGACGATTTACGTTTCCCAATTATACAGCTAGGAGAAATCTGTGGTACACTACAGAAAAATTCTTAAAACAAAATTATCCTATCAACTTAATGCAGGTGAGCAAAAGCATATGTCCCTTGATATAAATCACTGGGTCTTCAGTCAGTTCTGATCATGCAAGGAAATATGCAAGGAAATTAAAAATGAAACATCTGAGAGGTGAATTTCTGCCAAGAGTGTGCAATCTTAATGCCACTTGAGGAATTAATTTGGGACATTTTTCCATCAAGACTAGAATCAACCAGAGTTTATTAATCTTCTAGACAAAATCAGTCAACAAATAGTCTTTTTAATGATCTGAAAAGAAAGAGAAGCATTAACTTTATTAAACTGATGGGGAATCAAAAGATTCAAAAAGAGAGGTGGTCAAAAGAGTAAAAGAGAATTTTTATGGCTGCAGTATAATTAGCACCCTCAGATATTCCCGGCTCCAACTATGGATCTATTAGAACGGTAAAGAATGAATATTGGATCATGAGAACATAAAAAGCATGACACTTCAGGATCATTTGTTGTCAGCTGTGCTGCAGAGACAAATAAGTAAATTGTTCATATGGAGACGCAGCGTGGAGTAGCTATTTCATAATATCTTTTCATGTGGACACTTTTATGCCATGCAGTGAGTATTCCATTCACATTATGAATGGATTAAGTTAAACCAAAGACATTCAGTGAGGAATAGCTGTTCTGATTTAACTTCTTACCCTACACCAGTTTACACCATCTTCTCTGTGTTGTCAGGCCCTACACTACACACACTACAAGGTAAGAATTAGGAACAGCTTCAGTATCAAGAAATATTCAAATACAAGAGTTACTGGAGCACAGAATCCCAGAATACAAGTGTGGACAAGTGTGAGAACAGTGTACAAAGTCACTGTAAGACTCTGGAAATTTCACAGGCAGGACTACTTGAAGTCAAGATGAACAGATAAATACAATGCAAAACTATATTCTACAGTACCATCAGCAGGGAATATCAACATCCTACATCAATGAACAAGAGCATTCCTCATGAGTGCGATCTAAAGCTAGGTTTTGTTCCAGTTTCCCATGTTTTGTTTGCTGGGAAACATACACTCTGCTAATTCTATCTCAATTAGGGAAATCAACTTTCTAATGCCAGAAACAACTATCTGTGAAATAAAAATAAAATTAGCTGGCTAAGGCACCACTTGTTTCTCTCCATGTATGTGCAATTCAAACCTGCAAAGCTGATTCAAATTCCAGGAATATCCATGATAGACAACAGCTTCACTGTGATACCCAATAATCAACCAAAAGACTAAAAAAAAAAGCAAGCCTCAAAATCCAACAAACAGATAAGGAACTTTTCAACCAGACATCATGGAAAATAAAAGGTGTTTCATTGTGGAAAGAAGAAACAAGCACCGAGTAATTCATGAAAAGAAAAGAATAAAGAAGCCCTCTGTTATTTTTTTTTCCTTACTGGTAAGTTTTAGACTTTTGTCTGAAGTGATGCTGGGACAGAACAATGTCTTATTCCCCATCAGGCAAGGCCATCAGTAGATGACATTTACTAAGAGACTGTAGCAGTCTGGTGTGGCTATCGTGTGCTTGGCTAGTCCTCTATAGTAGACATGTAGACTGGATCAGCTCCATCTGTCTCGGTATGAAGGTTAATCTCCTAAAATAATTATGCTACTCAGCTACTACTGAACTGAAAATCTAGGAACATTTCCTGGCACTGTAATCAGCCTTGTGTTGAAGCCAGGAGCCAGTCAGCAATAGCTAGACAGAAAATATGATTTGTATGAAACACCTACAAACTGATGAAGAAAAAAAAGGGAGAGAGGACTGCTTTAGGTTGTACAAGTTGAATTTTTAAGAAAACTAGTGTACAGGAACATAAAATTTTCCTACTCTCATCTTCTAGTCCCATATTGTGTAGCTGGTATTTTCATAAAAATATATGCCACAACTATTTCAATCATCTATGAATGACTCAGGCTGCCACACTCACCATCAATTTCAGAACACACACTGGTAATGAATAGACTTTTTCAAAAAGACTGATCAAATCAATCAGGATTGAGCTACTAGAAACAGCAGTTTTCGTAATTCATTTCACAAATTATGGTTAAAGTACAGAGCGAGATCCAAGTGGCAATCCTGCAAAATTAATCATAAATGTACTCTCTTTGTAGGAGATGCCACTAAACAAGACTTAAGGATATAAATTCTAGATAGAGATGTTTTTCTTATATAGACATATACTGCCTCCTTTGTGTTTTCTAGTCTACTAGGAGCTGGTTGCTTTAGAAGTCTGATCTATAAAATACATAAAAGTTTTAAAAATAAAAAGATCTTTGGGGAAAATGGTGCTATTCCATGCTATTAATATTCAGAGACCTAAGAAACAAAAAGGGGAAAATAAAACTTTTAAGGTACAAAGCCTTAGGGCCATTGAATATTTCCTCAAATAAATCAAAGCAGAAAAGATCACAGATTTTACACTACTCGGTCGAGGACCAGTGATAATCTGTACTCACCACAGGCCTCATGCTTTCAGTTCTTTCTTCCTCCTCACAGCTAGCAATCGAACTAAAAGGAGGTAAAATACAATGCTAATATTTTATTCCTAATTTGTATGTGGTACAGATTTAACATATCTCTCCTTCTGGCTCCATGCCTGGCAAGATCATGGAGCAGATCCTCCTGGCGACTATGCTAAGGCACATGGAAAATAAAGACGTGATTGGTGACAACCATGTCCTGGGCTGCATCAAAAGAAGTGTGGCCAGCAGGTCGAGGAAGGGGATTCTGCCCCTCTACTCAGCTCTTGTAAGACCCCATCTAGAATACTGTGTTCAGCTCTGGAGTCCCCAACACAGGAAGGACATGGAGCTGCTGGAGTGAGTCCAGAGGAGGGCCACAAAGATGATCCAAGGGCTGGACCACCTCTGCTATGAAGACAGGCTGAGAGAGTTGGGCTGTTCACCCTTCAGCCTGGAAGGCTCCGGGGTGATCTTATAGCAGCTTTCCAGTACTTAAAGGGGGCCTACAGGAAAGCTGGAGAGGGACTTTTTACAAGGGCACGTAGTGATAGGACGAAGGGCAATGGATTTAAACTGAAAGAGGGGAGATTTAGATTAGATATACGGAAGAAATTCTTCACTCAGAGGGTGGTGAGGCACTGGAACAGGTTGCCTAGAGAAGTCGTGGCTGCCCCATCCCTGCAAGTGTTCAAGGCCAGGCTGGATGAGGCTTTGAGCAACCTGGTGTAGCGGAGGGTGTCCCTGCCCATGGCAGGGGGCTTGGAACTAGATCATCTTTGAGGTCCCTTCGAACCCTAACCATTCTATGATTCTATCATTTCTCCTGGCCCACTGTGTGCCTCAGATACCGCACACATTAATAGGGCAGCACTTTCTTTCCAGTTGAAGATGATTATCCTGCTGCAGGCAAACCTGTACTTTCAGTGATGCCCAAAAACTCAGAAAGCTCTTACTGAAGGACAAGGTTCATAGACAGATGCCCATGCAGCAGTCTGTAGCAGGACAGTCCCTCCACCAACCCATCGTATGACCGTACTCAAAATGCATTTGTCATATGACCTCAACAAGCTGGGTAAGCTTTCCTTCCCACATCACATCATCTGTCATACAGCTTCTCACACATCAGAATCTAGTTAAGCTGAGAAAAATCCTACTGCAAACTAATCATAGCTATTAAGAGGCCATGACAGCAAAACACATGAACATTAGTAGTATTTAAAAGAAGAAAGAAATCAAAGGAAAGCGTACTGTTATTACATGGCTCTTTCTGGAAAGTTTTTTCCTCTGCTAAATTGAAAAGTAGTCTCCATAGTGTCAAAGAACTCATCAGGATTTCTTAGTATCTACTCACATTTTCAGGCATTAGATATGGGTTTTTATCAGAAATAAAAACAAAAATACCAAAGTGTTTGCAATGAATGCAAGCCATTAAGGAACTGATCAAGGGGTCTAAAGGATTAGAAATGAGATTAAAATGCAGTGGAGGAGAAAATTCAAACTTCAAACAACTCTGAAAAAAAATCTAAATGTCCTACAGATTTTTTTTTAGA